CTCCAGGGTGTCCTCAAGCTATCTACAGTGTAATAACATTAATATACTAAATGACCAAAGTACTTTTGTGCTGGCCTGAAGCAGGAAAATAATACCTGCCTTCAAAAATAAGATTTTCTCAATTCTAGTGGTTTCATAATTTAAAACAGCAAAGGAAAGCAACTTCTACTACTTCCATAGATGGCCGAATCACCAAGGATTAGTATGTTAGAGTTCACTGTTATAATCCTACTTCAAGGCAGCAAGGCTGTGAGACCCGCTTAGGGTCAGGCTCATTTGATCACCATTGTTTGAATATGAGGTAACTTGATCACTGTAGAGATGGGTCAGTGCTAAACTCAGTATTTCTTTCTTTTCTTTGTAAAACCTCAGTTCTTGTCCAGCTTTTCTGGCTTCCTCAAGCTCTCGAAGTGACAGTTGTAGCTCCTGGGAAATAATTCCTGGAGATTCTTTCTCCTTCATAATCCAGTCCAGAGCCATATGACTTCTCATCTTTTCATCTAAGGAATACTGGGAATAGTAGGAAATTACTTCCTGTTATCCAAGAAATTTACAATAGAGATAGTAAGTCAGTCACTGGTAGATATGCTCTTCTTTTTAATCAGACAGTCTAATAGTATTACTTAGCCTTCATTCTGGTACTTTAGCAAGTCTCACTGAAATTCTAAGGGATACCAGCAAACTGATACCTTTCGAACATAGATAGCTAAATGAAGCTTTAAAAAAATCTAACAATGAGAAATTTAAAATGTTACTTTTAAAATATAGGTAGACAAGATTCTTTGGATAAATCCAATGTCTTTTATTAGACCAACTCAAATAGTTGGAAAAATTCTTCTTAGCAAACTTTTAGACACAACCACCCTTTGTCAGGCTGAGAGCCCATTGAGGAAGCCTGACAAAGGGTGTTTGTGCCCAAAAGCTCGCTAAGAAGAATTTTTCCAACTATTTGAGTTGGTCTAATAAAAGATATTGGACTTACCTAACGAACCTTGTCTTCCTATGTCCTTAGACCAACATGGTTACAACCTACACCACTGAAACATGGAATTTTAAAATATGACATCTTAAAAGAGTCGTCTGAATTTTTAAAACAATCATTTAATTAAATGTACCATTAATACTACGACAAAAAGATGTTTCCATATTATTCGTTGTTCACCAGGAAGAAATTTCAGATTTATTTTACTAACACAAGTCTTGCTTCTGAAAAGATGTATGCCTATGCTCAACAATATGGAGATTTGTTAACCCATGTAGGGCTATCCCGATATGAAGCTAAGCACTTTAGTCTTTCCAGGATTGAAACCTGTGTTTGTAAAGACCTGCATACAAGTTAAAATCTGTACTTGTGAATCACCTCCTATGGTTAAGGTCTCAAATGTATGTGCAAACTCCGCAAAGAGATAAGATCAGCCAAGCCTAAAATTCAATCACGTATCTGAAAATATATTGCAACCACTTAATAAAGCTTAATATTGAATCAGGACTATGTTTTTAAGAGAAGGAAATGAATGCCCTATTCAGCTGAATGGTAGGCAGAATGCATATTTTTTTAATAGAATAATTAACAACTGAGAGTCCGCTTTATGAAAAGGAATCTTAAATCATCATTTCCCGTGGCACAATGTAATGCATAGGGTGCACAAATGATCTTTAAATATGTAATATGGCATTGACTTTTTAAATTTAATAAATGTAAGTAATGCTGAAAGTGTTTTAACTGAATATGCTTCCAAATATTTCCATAAAATGAAAGATTTCAGAATAAATACCGTGAACTATAGTATATTGTTCTGCTATACTATATAGTATTTTGACAATTCTACTAATTTATTTTCCTTTTTTGGTCAACTAAGAATTCAGCTTTTGTGAAGCAAATAACAACAGATAAATGCAGGGGACAGAAATCTAAATAATTTAATTTTTCCTACATCCTGTGCTCTGCACTAATTTGTTCCTGGTTATTTGAATCCCTGAATCTCAGTTCTCAGTCATATAAACTATTTGTACACATGAAGTTTGTTGGTCACTGTGACATTTTACCTGGCGTGAGCACTTTGTTTCACGTAGGGCTTTAAGACTTCCATTCCAATGCAGCAGCTGAAAGACTATCATCAGCTCCTGTAGAATGAGAAGATTATTGAAATTACTGATTCAAAAGCAGCAACTTTGCTCTCTTAAGATGAGTGAAATGGTGACTATTTGCTATTTAAAGTTGTTACATTAAAGGGTGTAATGGATTAATGAAAGGTATATGACGATCCGGATGTAAGGGCCATCTATCAGCTCGCTGAACATAATTTTTGCTTGAAAATAAGTGAAATTGGAGTCATCTCTCCAGGGTGCAAAAGCCTGGGCAGTATATATGGAGACACTGAGCTGCCCACAGACCAGTGCCCTCCTCTCAGCCTTTCTGCTTTGATCGAAAGAAAAGACTGGAGCCAGTATGTCTGGAGCCATAAAGAGAGACATCGACCCCAGAAGATGAATGGTGAGGATACTTGCCTGGAATGTGGGAAATTAGGCCACTGATGCATGTTCAGGTAAAGGTGTGATGAAACCTAACCTGAGATCCCAATAATCAAGCTCCCTGCCATTCCATTTTGGGATTGGGATCAGACTGAAATCATGCCCTACTTGTCAGTACAGGAGGAGCCTGGGATCATGACCCCAGGTTCCCTCTTCACTGGCTCCAGGAACCCACCAGGACAGTTTGAGCCCCTAGAGCTGGCAGCTGAAACACTGATTAGCACCAGTATCTGGATTGGTATCAGTGGTGGCAGGAGTACTTTAACTAAAACTTATTGAACAAGTTTCAGTTAAAGTGCCTCCACGGCCATTTTGAAATGTGGGTTGTTGAATACATGTGATGCAGTGACATTTTAATTAGAGTGACTGTCTGGAAGCTGTTCTAATTAAAACAGCCCTCCTCCACCCCAGCTCTGAGCACCTTGGGTAAATAGACACCTTCAGGTTTGAAGCTTGATCTTAATTAAATTTTCCACATTTTGCTCTGCCGCATGGCCCACAGCACATATCTGAAATGCAACTATTGCTTGATACAAAACCCCATACAAATCAGCTGAGTTTTTTCCAACTTCTACTCAAATAGCAATCAAATTCCCTGACATTTACCATGTGAATTTGGAAAGGCTTGTTCAGTGGTGGTGTTCTGCATGCTGTATAATTTTGCAATGTTTAATTTTAAGTGAGTCCATTCATGTAATTCCACCACCAAATAGTAAAGTTAAGCGGAAAAAGAGCCCCTTTTCCATTTTTAACAACCAATATAGATGAGCTTTCAGTATTTGGCCAACCTGCAATCATGACTATAGTAGTTAAGTTATAATGTACTTTGCTGGATAGATTTAAAGATTACAAGTAGCAGGCTGTATCCTGTTTAGAAAGCTAATTAAATTGCTCTGTACTACTGTTTCCTGGTTAAACAGATTCCCACCATGCTCTCTTACTCTCTTGCTTCATCTTCTAGACACCACAATTCTTCCTGTTAGAAGTTCTTTTTTCTGGTCCAGCTGCCTTATGTTTTATGTTTCTCCACAGGACACGACACACTTTTTTTAGCTATATCTATAGCATTTGCATGACTGTCAGCAAGACAGCCAAGCCTTGAAGGACTGCAGCTTCAAAATCAGGCAAACTAAAAGGAAAGCAATTGAACAGAGGGACAAAGGGCCTCACTGTTCCCTCTTGATCTTGTTCAGCCTATACATCTCATTGTCTATAGATCTACTTATTCAAATATGAACAAATCTGGAAGCCCTTGTACCTGGAATTCCAGCATCGTTTTCCCAATATTTGACTCCAACATATAGTGGTAGGCTCCAATGCTAGTGCTTGGATCATCAGCATCCTTTAAATTACCCTTGGGAAGGAAACAAGAGAGATTAGTCTTGGTTCTTAATTAATCTTAATTAGTCTTAATTCATTCTTAGTATGATTAAGAAGCAGGAAAAAGGAGCAGTTCAAAGAGCCACCCTTAACAGTTGAGGGAGGGGGGCAGCTGCAGGTCCTGGCTAGCCTCTGTTTAGAAGACCCAGGATGCTGGGTCTTTTCTCTAAGGCTAGGGACAGACATTACACATAACTGGTTTAGGTGATCAGAAACTGGTTTAAACCTGTAACAGAATAGACATTCAGTGCACATAAACCAGTTTCAAAATGGCCAAAACCGGTTTGAGAGAAACTTGGTTTAATGTCGTATCAGACTTAACAGATTTGGGTCAAACCGGTTTATGCAATGTCTGTCCCAGATCCCTTCCTGGTTTAAGATGAACCAGAACCCCCAGCATCCTGGCATGCTCTCTGGGCTGGGAGGGGCTCTCTGCTCCAGCCACATGGCTGACCTCACCCCTCTGCTCGCTCGCTCTCTCTCTCTCTCTCTCTCACCTTAACAGGGCCATGCTGGATTGGTTGTCCCACAGGGTGGGGAGGGGGGGCTCTGTTCCATGGTGGGGGGGACTGTTCCCCCTCCTTTTCCTCCCCCCATGGTGGGGAGGGGGACTCTGAGAGGCACTGGATGGGGACACTTCCTCCTCCTTCCCTTCCCCCCTGCCACTGTGGGGCTGGGAGGGGAGGGCTCCATGCAATGCTGGCTATCCCCAGAATGGGGGCAGGGGGAAACTCTGTTCCATCCTGGGGGGAACTCTTCCCCCTGCTCCTCCTCCTCCCCCCAGGGGGGCAGCAGGAGCATGGAGCTCAGCTCAGGGTGTGGGTATGAGGAAGGGTGGGGGGTTTAGTGACTCCCACACACTTCCCCCATGGTGTGCAGCCCCCAACTGCCTGGCAACAGCAGCAGGCAGGGAAGTTGGGGTGCTCGTGCCCAGCACAGGCACAGCTCTGGCTAGCACTGCATGGGGGGAGGGAGTGGAGCCTGCCTTATCCCTGCAGCTCTGCTCTCTGAGCCTAAGCCTGCAGCTGGGGAAGCCCCACACTGGAGCCAGCTGCTTCCCCCACCCCCATTGTTCAGGTCCCCTACTTTGCTGGGAGTGGAGGGAGCCCTGCCCCCTGCTTCCCCGCAGAGTCTAATGTGGGGCTTACCCACTGTGAGTGCAGAGCTTCAGGTGCGGTGTGGAGTGGCTATCCACTTGCAAACCAGTTAACTCTCTGTAGGTTGAACTAACCTGCAAAGACTGAATCAATTCAGGCTCAGGCTTTCTGAATGTCTGGCCCTAGCCTGAAAGAGATGCCAACATGTAAAGGGGAAGTGTTTGTACTGTGGAAGGGGAGAGCTATATAGACTTTCCATTATGTCCTTAAAACATAGGTTATGCAAGCCATGTATCTGGCTATTTTAGAGCTTCATAAAGATATTTCTCACATTTCAAGTTGGGTAAGAGGTAAGTGGAGGAAATAATTTTTAATTTATCTGTGCATTTATGCACCCTCAAACAAACAAATAAAAAATCAAATACCTGATTTTATCACTGGTTTACAAGTGTAACTTTAATTTGACTTCAATATGAATGCAGTGACTTACTGGGATTTTGACATCGCGCTTAACTTCTTTTTGATTGAAGTGAAGAACTAACCCTCCAAACCACTTCTGGATGCAATTGAGTCAGTGGTGGTTCAGCATAATGCAAAATACCTACTGTTTTCTACTTGATATTCAGACTGCTACATTGATTTATTGGTAAGAGTCTACCTCCTGCCTCCAGGCTCTTCTAATCTCTGCAATACTGCTGTCCACCCATCTAGAATCTGTTATGTATTATTATTCAAGATGTTCCTCCAAAAATCTCTATTAAATCAGTCCTGTCCACCCAAAGGCATTTTTAAAAGGCTTATCACCATAATACCAAAATGCCTACTTTTTGGATTTCAAGTTCTTATGTGCTAATGAAGCCACTTTGATGGGCCATAGTGACAAGTTCTGTAATTCTGCAAGTACTTTCCCAGTAGAACCCTAGAGTAGAATGAAGCAAACCAGGTCTAGGAAGTGGCTGAATTCTTTTTACTATATATATATATATATGTCTACAAAGGAAGCATCCAACCTACTTTGGATCAATTCCTTTTCATAACCCTTGGTGTCATTGGCAGTTACTCAGAGTTGAAGAGATCCCTACACAAGACATTTTTTAACTGAACTGCCAGCAAAATTATAGCTTTTGAATGCTGTAATATTAACACACTGCTGCTGAAATATTTATGCTGGCTTTCAAATATCCCTGAGGAAATCCACCCAGAAGTCTGCAAAGTGTATACCCTTTTACCTTAAACATTTCCATAAAAAATGATGAATTACTTAAATCAAACCACCCTTTAAATTTCATATACAAATAAATCATGCCCCATTTTTCCTAACTTATATGGATTTTTTTGTCCTTCCAAAATGTATTCAATCCACAGAGTTGGATATGAGGCCCTTCTTTCATTTGCAGACCAGATACAGACCAGACCTCCTAACAGTGCTGTAGTGGTACATCTACATTATATCTCCTCTGCCTTTCTCCTTAGTATATCCCATAAAAGAGAACAAGACTTTCAACTGTTAAAAGTGTTTCTGAACTATTGCCAATCTCTTCCACATATATTAGCAGAAGCTCCTTCTGCAAGATGCAAGGAATTCAATGATCTTTTCAAATCCAGGACACCCACCTTTCAGCATTTTCATTTACAAATACTTGTTACAAACTTGTGTGACTTTTGCCATGTGATACTATTCTGAATCAAAAATTATTATTTTTGTCACCTAATTATAACTCCAAAGCTCTGAATCTATTGGACTTTTTGAAAGCTAACACGGGCTTGAATAATTACCATCACACCAAGTACAAATCCATTTGGCCTATCTTTTACCATGATGGGCAATGATGGAAAATAACAACAAACAATCAAATCTTTTGTCATTCAAGAAAGAAAACACTATTTGCCTTTGATACATAGTATGTGACATAACTGTGTTAGTGGAAGCTAACATAGAGAAGAAATTCATAATTTTTTAAAAATCATTTAGGGAAGTTTGAAATTAAATTGTTTCCCAAATATCTATATCTATAATCACACACACACACACATACACACACACATACATATATATACACACATATATATTTTTTCTTATGTATGATAAGAAAACCAAATTAGTTAACAGAATTACAACACAGTGTGCTGTGGTAGCCACACTTTATCTACTGACTGAGAAGAAAGACAGTTCCAGGAGTTATAATGTAATGTTATGAATATTTAAAATATTAATAAGGAACTATAAACACAATCTGTAAAAGTTCTGAAAGCACTCTACTCCCATTAATTCAAATGCATGCAAGAAAATATTGAACCTTATTATGCAGTTGCATTATCCAGTTATAAGTCATAATTTCCATTTATATAGGAATATATATGGTATTTAAATATTGATAGGTTTTATTTACATCAGGCCTTGCTATTTCATGGCCACATAAAGGGTAAGTACCCTTCATATAAGCTATAGATAGTATAAACTTCACCCACTTTTGAACAATAGCCGTGTCTGAGATGGAAAACTATAGCTGATAATTTAGCTGATACTAAAGAGCACTGTTATAGCATCATAAAACGTCCCAGTACTTATTTTCTTTAGATAATTAAGAATAAACTCTGTAAAAAAATCCTTAGTCCAGGGCTTCAGCTGGCATCTAATAGCAGGGTTCCACTGAAGTCACTGGTGCTACGCTGATGAACATTGACTCCTTGCTCATAGAATCATAGAAGAGAAGGGCTGGAAGGGACCTCTGGAAGACATCTAGTTCAATCCTCTGCATGAGACTGGATCAACCCTATCCAAACCATCCCATACAAGTCCTTGTATAACCTATTACTAAAACTATATCATCAATTCTGCCACACAGATACGAAGCATGGCACCCTAACCTGCCACAGGTAAATCAGGGAGACAACAGCAGTCCATGTCCTTCTGCTGCAAGTGTTATTAAAATAGGCTTGCGAGCTCCAAGAAGGAGAGTCACACCCCCCTGCTACAGAGGAAAACCCCTACAGTACCAATCTGACCATAGAGTAAAATTTCTGATCCCAAATGTGACAAGGTACAGTAAAAATGAGCAGCCAACACCTTGTGCTTCTGAGGAAGGCGAGCCCTCCACTCAACATGCGTAGCAACAGGAGGGGGAAAAATTCTCTCTCGGCACCATGTGACAACCAGCAAAGCCCAAAAGCATAGGAAATACCCATAACAGAGCACAGGCACAGTGACTAGATCGTCCCTGCCCAATACTTCTTCAACTTCTTCTTGGATACTGCCAATAATGGAAATTCCACAACTTCTCCGTCTTGTACCTACTGTTCCTATTGATGCAACCTAAAATCATATTTGCTTTTGATGCAGCTGTGTCAACACTGTAAAGTCATAGTGAGTCTGTGATCCACTAAGACTCCTAGACCCTTCTTCTTAGTGCTGCCATCCAGCTGGTTTTGTATTTATTCTTCCAAAGGTGCAACGTCTTGCACTTGTCAGCATTGAATTTCATTTTGTTAGCTCCAGACCTGCTTTGCAAATGTCAGAAACCTTCTGAATTGTGCTAATGTCCTCCATTGTGTTAACAGTCCTTCCCAGTTTCATGTCACATAGCCATTTGCTCAAGAAATTCTGTTTCAGCATTCAAACTGTTAATAAACACATTTAACAACACTGGGCCTGGGACAGACTCTTACAGGACTCCATTCTAAACCTCCTGCCCTTCTGACATTGGTCCAGCTTTAACTATTCTTTGCTTTTGGCTATTGAGCTTGTTGTCTGTCCACCTTATAATAGTTATGTCTAGCCCAAGTTTCTCCAATTTGTTTATGAGGTCATGTGAAACTTTGTCAAATGCCTTGCTGAAATCCAGATATACTATATTTGCTGCATTTCCTTCATCCAACCAAATAGCTACTTGGCAAAGGAGATCACTTATATGGCATGGTTTGTTTGTAGTAAATCCATACTGGTTGCTTGGGATCAGCTTTTTCTTCACCAAATGCTTGAAAAGGGACTTGCTTATGATATGCTCCAGTAACTTCCCAGGTATCAAGGTGAGAATAAACAGACTATAGTTACCCAGGTCCTCCTTTTTGTAACAAGGAGCACTATGTTGGCCATTTTTCAGTTCTCTTATACCTCACTTGTTTCTGATGACTTGGTAAATATTATTGCTGAGGACTCCAAGGTCTTCTTTGCCAGTTCTTTCAGTACCTTGGGAGGAAGTTTATCAGGCCCTGCTGACTTAAATTATTCAGACCCATCAAAAGTTTTCTGCTGTTTCTTCTGTTATCTCAACTCTCAGTGTGTCCCCTTTCTCATCCAAATAGTCTTAGTAACTGTCTGGCTGCAGCTTAATGTTTTTGTACAGACTAAGCCATGTTGAGCAGCTTCGCTGCTTTTGCATCTGCTGTTAAGAGTTTGCCCTGACTATTTAACAGTGGATCCACAGCTTCCTCCATTTCTTTTTTTCTGGCCAACATATTTCTAGAACATCTCCTTGCCTTTAACTTGCCTTGCCAGGGGAAGCTCATTTCTTTTTACATTTGCTTTCCTGCTTTTGTCCTTCCTTGGAGACCTTCCCTTCTTTTCATTGCCTGTATGCTTTCCTTTTGCATTTGAGGCATCCTAGAAGCTGCTTGTGTTGCCACATTGGTCTTTTGCCATTTCTCTTGTACTTCTATTGTGGTGTGTCATGGGGTGGGGTCCCTAGGGATGGCCGTGATGCCCCTAGGGCCCTGTGACCTTGCTAGCTTCACCCCACTTTCTATTCTCTTCTGCCACGTCTTGATGGTTAAGATGATAGATGTTCGATAGGGAGGCTGCCCTCAAGGTGCTATGCGGTCGTGGTCCTGGTGGACCCCACTAAGCTGTGTGGGTTCTTAGACCCCTTGCTGGGTCCCTCTCTAGGGAAGTGCCCCATGGGACACCCCAAGCCTTATGTACCTTGTAGCCCAGGGTACCTGGTGAACTCTGGGAGCCCCATTAGTCCTGTAAGTAGCATACCAGGTGGCTACAGAGTCTCTGGGCAGTTCTTTTCTGCAGGTTCCTTCCCCTGGCTACTGCCAGAGAACTAACCCCTGCCAGCCTCAGGCCTGGGGTTTATATGTGCCCATGGTCATGCTTTCTTCTGGTCAGCTGACTGGATGCAGGTTCAGGCTAATTTCCTCATTAGCCTGCTGGCATAGTAACCTGCACCTGTGTGGGGTTTCTGCCTGGCTCCAAGGGCCCTCTCTCTAGGCAGAGTCTGCCCTTAAAGGAGCAGGCACCTTAGTGCCCTGCGACATGGTGGAATAGTTTCCTGGTGGGCTTCTAATACGGTGCCCTTTAGAAGGTCCTGGGCACCTGTATTCTTCAGTCTATCTTCCCATGTCACCATATTTCATATTATTGGCTGAAATGCACCTTTTTGAAGTCCAGCGTCTTAGTTTTGGTGACCTCATGCTTTCCCTGTCTCGGGATTGTGAATTGTATCATAATATGATCACTTCTTCCTAAATTTCCAATCACCTTCACATCCTCCACTTGTTCTTCCCTATGGTCAAGACAAATTCCAAGATAAATTATCCTTTAAAGCCAAGTTAGAAATTGGTTTGGCATTTTATGTTTAACCTTATTATTTTTTTAGAAGATGTCTAGAAACATTTTTCCTCACTATCGCATAACATTTGGATAATTTTGTCACCTCCTTGAAGAGTGCCTCATTCACCTCTTCTCTCTGTTGTGGTGGTCTATAATAAATCCCCACCACTATATCTGTGGTGTATCTTTCACTTTTTATCTTCATCCAAATATGTTCTGGTTTTCTAACTTCTTCTGAAACCAAGTAACAAGTGTGTATGTATGTTCTTCAGGACACAGAAAACATCTTCCTCTACGTTTTATCCAGAGATAACATGACATGGCTCTAATCCTGATTGTGGCCCCTGGCCCATATATTTTTATAAATGGTTGTTATCATCAACATCAAAAACAAATTAAAAATGTTTGATTATCAGATTTTAAGTTTTTCTTTTTCAACCTTAGTATAACGACCCAGAATTGATCTTCATTAAAAGTACCCAATAACTGATAGCAAGTGCAGATGCTAGGAGTCTGTTCTACTGGGAATGCTTCAGTTTTGGTATTAAGTGACAAAGACTTCTTTCTGATACTCTTTTCCCTGCCCCCGTCAGTATCTTATTTAGGATGAAAGCCTGAAAGAGAGATGGGTGGAAATAAATAAAGGATATTGAATAGCATTCTGCACTGTTACCCTAAGGGCTTTAACTATTTTTACTAATATTCTATAATTAACTACATGAATGTCTGCAATGATGGCAGAAATTTGACTCCTGAAGCTTTTTGTATAATCTTACAGTACCAGATTCAGCTTCTGGCTACACTGCTGTAAATCCAGAACAATTCACTAATGTCTATGGAGTTATTCCTCAGTTATAAACAAACAAACAAATAGCCATCTCAAATAAAGTCATTAAGATACCCTAGCTTTAAATCACTGTAACTGAAAGCCAAGTGGGACAAAAAGGACACATCTTTAAGTTTTCATTTCTCCACTGTTTATAACTTCTATGTTTTGTTCTACATCATGTCTCAGGAGTTCCTGTGGTGCAAGACACTTCTACACAGTATAGGGTTCACACACAGCAAAGTAAAATATTTTATTTGTGCCTTATTATCAGCTGCCATGCATAAGAAGTGCCTTCCTGGGTCAGCCCAATGGTCCATCTAGCCCAGTATCCTGTCTTCAACAGCAGCAGAAGTGTGGGTGAGACAGGGAGAGGATTGAACCAACCAGCTCGAGAGTGATCTATCCCCTATTCAATACCTTCCCAATGGCCATCCACCATTTATTGGGTTAGAGATGACAGAGGAAACATCGTCAACCATTCTGTCCAATAGCCATTAATAGATCTATCATCCATGTATTTATCCAGTCCCTTTTTGAACCTGGCTGTGTTATCTTCCTCCAACATCTCCTGTGGTGGTGAATTCCACAAGTTTACTGTGTTGGGTAAAAAGTGCTTTCTCTTGTTAGTTTTAAACCTGCCACATACTAGTTAGAGTGAGTACCCCTGGTTCTAGTATTCTGGGACTTGGTGAGCAACAGTTCCCCGTTCACTTGGTGATTTTACAGACCTCTATCTTATCTCCCCTCAGCCTTCTTTCCAAACTGAAGAGTCCTAGCCTTCTTAGCATTTCATGGTATGTCAATTGCTGCAGGCCCTTGATCATTGTAGTTGCCTTTCTTTGTATCTTTTCTAATTCCACTACAGCCTTTCTGAGATGTGGGGGCCAGAGCAGCACACAGTTTTCAAGATGTGGATGCACCATGGATTCATAAAATAGCATAATGATGTCAACAAAAAAACAAAGTTCATTTGCAATTTTTGAATTTTGGACAAATGAACGTCTGTATTTCTAGGAATTTCTCCTCAGTTTTTACACGAAAGCTGAAAGATGGGATTTGTATTTCAAGGACAAAATAATTGAGATAGATTAACAACTTGAACAAAATGACTTGTGGCATTAGTTTACACACCTGCCTCACCTTGTCATTGTCATTCAGAGTCTGTTCAAGTGCTTATGATGTAATGGATGAAAATACTGTTTAACAAGGTTTTGGTTGAAAAGATGCTTTACTGGTTCAGCAGTAGGGATGATGGCAGAAAATAAAGTGGCTCTTTTCTGGTAGTAACAAGAACATATGGGGAAAAAGTCCACTGAAAGGTCTATCATTTGCAATATAGTTAATATGTAACTGATAGTGAGTGTCCTTTTGAATAGATAATCATATACTATCATTAGCAAATAGTGAAATCAGGGAAAGAGGGTAGTTGTCATTTCTAAGAGTCTAGTTGACTTTTTTTTTTTTTTTAGAGTTCTCTCTAAACCAGGTGTTCTGCCTGTTACACATGGGAATTAATTTCTCAGTTTGAAAATACACATCTGAGTTTTAGGTATTTACTAAACAATTATCTAGTTAGTAATAAAGATACTGTTCTCTAGGTCTGCATATTAATCCCAATTGGTTCTTCAGTTATCTAACATTTTCTATTAGTGAACATAAAAACTGAACATAGTCCATTTGGCACTTACACTGGTTGAGGATACAGCTTCCCGAACACTTTCCATAATGAATTCCTTTGTGATCCTGCGACAGGGCAGTTCATTGAAAAGAGAATTGATCAGAGCTACTTTTGCAGCATCTCGTCTTGCTTCTGCTCTGCTTAAGCAGCTCTGAAATAGCACAGAAAGACAGAAGGAGTGGGGAATTCAGGAAGACTCTTTCAGTTAATTTTGGGTCTATTTTTATCTCTCAGTGCAACAAGGGAAACTTATCAGAACCAAGATAAAACTATTTTATGCCAACATTGTTAAATGCATTTCAGCAGCAAAGCTGTCAGGTTTTTCATACCAGAATATCTTTCTTGAAAAATAGCCTCATTTCGGGAAAAAACCCCAAACTTTCCACAATAAAAATGTCATCATTAATATTTGGTGTATTCCTAAAATTTGTGATATTTGCTGAGTTTTGTTATTGAAGTTACTTCTTAAATCTGTATCAAAATTCTTCACTTACCCCCAACCACAATTTCTTGCTGAAAACAGTTTTCTTCATATTTTTTTGGATAAAAATGTCGGAAAGGGAGTCTTATAGAAAAATATTCCTCCCTTTAAAATGGTCAGAATTTGAAATTTGAGAAATGGTTGGCACCCCATGAATTTCTTAGTAAAATTATTCTCAGTTTTTTGACTGTCTGTATTCTAAAAATATGTAACATAGAGGATTTTCAAAGGAGTCTAAGGGAGTGAAGCATGAAAATTTCCCATAATCAGTTAATTTCCTTTAAAAATCCCAGCTCTCGGTAATTTTTGCCAGTCTACTTGTAGTGTGAGAAATTCATAATATCCCTTGCATAAAGCTTTGTATTCCACCAGAAAAAAAAAAATTGTCAAAAAATAGAGTGGGATCTTCTCCATTTTATTCATTTACCAAGTCCTGAGAGTTCTGCTAAAAGCCATCTCATATGCAGAACTGGACAGAAATCACAGTTTCCCTGAATTTAAGGCCAGAAGAGATAACCAGATCTTTTCGTCTGACCTCTTGCATATCCAAGGACACCAAGCCTCACCCAAATACCCTACATCAAGCTCAAATCAATAAAACTTAATAAGACTAAAGCATCTGGAGTCTTAGGAATCCACATTGTGTTTAGGCAGGAAGAGAACAAGAAAGATGAAAGCACAACCAATGCCTGAGGCCCTTCCAATTGCAGGGAATTCATCCGTTGAATTAATTTCAGATGATCCCGGCAGGTCAACTGTGTCTCATGCCATGAGGAAAGTTAAATCATCCTTAAATCCCTGCTTTTAGCACTCCTAGGGAAAATTCCTTTTCACCCCCAAGTCTCATGATAGATACAAATCTGAGCATATGAGATTAAAAAAAATCCCAACAGCATGGCATCTCTGTGCCAACTTAGAGAATTAGTCCTTCATTTCCAGCTGCTTCAGAGGAAGGAAATGTCTCCCTGTCCTCTTGCCCCTATCCCATTAAAACTCACCAAAAGCACAACCTGGAATTCATCTAGCTAATGACACATTGCCCAAGTTATTCCTGGCACCTGCCGGTGAGTACCTGAAGTATATTATTGGATAATAACAGTTTTAAAGCAGAGTTGCAAGTACCTTGATATCAATACATGCCACTGCATGCTCTCCATGGCCCATGTAGGAAGGGAATGAAGAAGGTGCTTCTTAGATTTCAAAGTCAGAGAACCCCACCATGACTCTCCAGCTCAAACTACCAATACAAGTATAGTCTAAACTTATAGCTAAATCTATATTAAAAGGTACCTTTTAACATTTTCTGACTTCGATTTAGACTTCAGGCACTAACTACCTTCGTATACTGCCTTCTGTTTACCTGTCCTCAGAGTTACGAAATTATGACATGTTTTAGGATTGAATTTATCAACTTCAACTTCACTGTTCAACTGACAGATCAATTATACATGACACAGTGGACCATCTAATCTTCAATTACAGTGACCTGAAGAGTAACCATATTCTTTTTAACAGTGGTCATCATCTTTACTGAAGTGCACTGAACTTAATTGGAATTCTTCCAATAAATTTAATTGGCCGTGGATGAGGTGCTTATAATATGGTGACGTAGATGGGCTGCTCTATCAGAATATGTAAGTACTCCTGAATGCGATTATTAGCGTTTCTGTGTGTAGCAAAACATATGATGGTTCTATATGGAAGAAAAAAAAGAAGGTATCTTTACCTAAAACAAACACTTAAAATGTTTTAGAAAGTTTAGCTTTTTCATTGTTAAAATTAACAATTAGATTCAGAGAGAACCATTTTGCTCTCTTATTTAAAAATGCCATTCTTGGGTTTTGTAAAGGAAAGCACTTTCTTCTATACTATTTAATTTTTATTAGACAATATATCTTGATCATTCCTTTTTTTGGCTTCAGATAGACATTAGTATACAAAATATTTGAAGTGGCTATGAGAATTTCTACCTTTCATACCCATGTAGAGCTCCTTAGATGAATGTATTTTACTACTCTCCATTTGTTTTTCTTTCATTAGTTTTTAAACATTTTCTCATGGTTTGCATGGAAGCCTGCTTTCTAGAATTGTGAGGACAGAACTCAGACTTGTATGCTCAAATAATACACTTCATAATAAAAACCAATCCAAATAATTTGGATTGAAACCATCTTTGTGAAGATGAAACCTAGTAAAATGACAGATAAAAGAAACCATTCATTTTTAAATGAGACCAGCAAAGCAGCAGATCAAAGAAGCTGCATACATTTATACGCAAATGGCAAGTCTTTGGAGATCAAGAGATTTACAAATCTGAAAGAAGAGAATAATGTTCAACATTTTCTAAATGTAACAGGAGATATAAAGACTTTACCAAAATGAGATTATAAATTTAAAACAGTGACATTATGACTTTCCTTTGCAATTTTTTCTTACATTTAACTTTTTCTCAGTCCCAGGAGAATGAAGAATGATTATAGGTCAGTTGAGCTGAGGAGTAAAAAAGGCTAAAATCTCAATCTAGTTTTTCGGAGGGCAAAGGTTTCTGAATGTGCCAGTTAGTTCAAGTGTTACAAAGAAGTCTTGAATTATCCAGAGCGGAAGCTGTAAGTAGGTCACTGAATAGGACTACAATAGGGTAAAAAGCTCCCTTAATAACTGGTCATACCAATGAGCTGTATTTTTAGATTTACTGGCAATGACTGGATGTAGGGAAGGAGAGAAAATGGGAGATGGGAGTTTAATGCCTTAGCACTTATTGAAAGATAGTTACCAGCAGTCATGTTGATGTATAATATACTGTTTTCAATTGATTTAAGCGTTTGGCTGAGGAAAGATATGCCAGCCTTAACCTTGGTCTGCAGCAAAAGTTACTGGCCATAGAGATGTCATTGAAATCTCTCTCACAATCAGAAAACAGCTTCTTAGGTGGAAATTATACACTATATTAAACATTAAGTTATGTCACCTATGCTAAAGTTTCCAGAAAGTAGGCATGTCATCACATTAGTTTGCCTAGGTTTCTGTGAACAGACACAGTGGGTTCATATCTTAAGCCTTTCAGCTTTGAATTTTATCTTTCTACACTTTGGAGACCAGACTACAGTGCATGGAAAATGCATAGAGTTCTTGTCAAGGGATGTACTAATGTATGAACACATAAGCAGGTAGCTTAAAGTTCAGCGTGGGAACCTATTTGATCGTACTGCTGCAGCTCTGTGAAGGCCCATCTCTTGTACCACAGCCCAGGGGTGTAAATTGCAAGGAAATGAAAATAGTTTTGAGTATCAATATAAAGCAAGGGCTTCTCAGATGTACTCACTTTGTCCTGCTGTGTTAGCAGCAAAATGGTGAGCCCATTACTGAACCATCACCTCTCTGACTGCAATCCTCTGAAATGAATTTAAAGGCCAGATTAAATTTAAATGATTTTAGGGCCAGATTAATTCAGCACTGTAGTGCAAAATCAAAGTAATACTGCTGTACTGTAGTGCAGTATTACTGTAGTAAAACTTCAAAGCAATAGTGACTGACTAAAACAAAATGAAACAGCACCGACTCTTTTTAAAAATCATCCTTCACACCAATTCCTACCTTTGGTAGTGTTTCTGGCAGCAAGGAACCAGTGGCCTTTATGACAAGTCTATAAGGTTTCAGGTGGCAGCTGACTAGCTTATCTACCCACTCTGGCATCTTTAGTAGCGGGATTCAGGAAGATTGCCCTGCTCGACAGTAATGGCTCAAGTTTCCCATTATTACTTCAATAAGTTTAAAGTAAGGCCTATAGCAGCAAGACCATGCAAGAATTTCCTGGTTCTACTCATTGCAGCAATGAGGCAAGGGAACTGACCATTAGCACTTCTCTTTCTAGAAATCAATCACTCTGAAAACCAGGGTGCATTAGACTCAGCAGAGACCCTCCAAAAGATATCAACAAGCAAAGAAAGTTGAGGTGGGTGTGTTGAGGGTCCAGCTGGGCATTCATGATTCATGGCATGTTTGATTAGCTTTGCATTTGGGCCACTATTTCCCAAAATAGTCTCTATATTGGGTAGTATTCATTCTATATGTTGGCTTGTAGACTCTGTATATTCTATTTCACTTCACATTGCCTAGGTTATGGGATTTAGACTGGTTCTAATTCTCTGATTGAGATGCAAAAGGGAGGACATTGTGGTAAACCCTAGAATACACCCATACTGCAGGTGTCATTGTAACAGATCATTCAGGTATGCCTGTCTTTAATTTAACTAGGTGGATATCAATATCAGGAAAGATATGACAGCATGGACTTAGGGGTGTGCTGATTAAGTAACTAGGGTCCATGGCAGGGGTTGTGTACCTTTACCACTGTCAGCACTAGAGTTTGCTAGATTTGATCTTGGTTGTGGTATACCTGCATTTTTTTGTAATGGTGCCTTAGTCCTAGAAGTCCGAGGCTTTGGATTCTATCTCTGGCTTTGAAAAAAACTTCATTTGTGACATCAACCAATTCTATTAGACACAGCTCATTATAATCCAGCCTTCCTTTTTACACGTAGATTTCAAGGGCATATCAATTCCAATAAATCTCCAATGCATATTACGTGCATTAATGTGCATGTGCTAGAAGCACTGACAAGAAACAGAATCACATTTTTATGGGAAAATAGTCACTTATTTCTAAGGAG